ATTACTCTGTGTACAATACTTACTAATACATATGATTATATTGACTATTTACAGTACAGAATACTACCAGGGTATTACTCTGTGTGCAATACTTACTAATCTAAGTAGCCTTCTATTGTATTCTTTGCTAGTATTTTAACAGTCATCAATATTTGATGAATCCAGACGGGAATTTCATAAGCAGCTCGAGCTAGAAACGAACAAAACAGATAGATAAAAAACATGAAGTTTGTAAACATGATGTTGATCAGAACAAAAACATATTACAGCAATTCCAGGCACTGATTTGACGCTGAAGTACTGCTAGATGTTGATAACTTACTGCAATAGGTTACACACTTTGTTTTCACATTTACAGAAGTTGCACAAATAATGCAGACAGCATGTCTGCAATTTGAAGCGCACCTGATGGAAGCTCCGCCCATAAAAGTGGTGATACATTAGTTTTGAATTTCTCCTCCAATAAACGATCGAGGCTCTCAACTTAGTTTCCTACTTCAATTTCAGTGAGAGGGATGCATAGGTGGCGGCACTGTAAGAACGTTAGAGTTATTTTACAGAACCAGCTGACCGACTGATCATGGCAGAATTGTTGATCAAAGTGCATTATTCCTACTATGGAAATATTCGTATCACGCCGATCTATATAACTGAAAGCTGCCTGCAACAAATGTCCTATGAAGACTTCGTCCAGTATATCATTAATGAAATTGAATACATAAGTAGAATGGGTGTTATTCGATTATTAGTTCTCGAAGATGAGAACCAAAAGATTGATGTGCCACCAAATAATCACTTTAAAAAGCTTATCACTAGCAACACACGATCACACGTCCGGCAAGGGTTGCCGCCGTATACACACCGTCTGCGAGTAATTTTTGTCGAATTCCCCGTCCGTAAATGCTCGCTCTCTACATTTTATAACATTGTCAGCTAGTTTTTTAGTCGCGGATTGGTCACTCTTACGCTTTCCAGGCAGGATACTCTCAGCGGTAACAAATTGTTTGACGATATTACATATATACAATATTTTATGGTACATGTACCATAAAAAAACCCTCTGAAGGTTTTTGGTAGTGTAATAATGTTATTATTATTATAAGCTGTGTGCTTTGAAACACCACTTCGATCTCCAACCTCAGCAAATGACTATCCACGAAAATACAAATCGACGAAAAACTCTTGTTCTCACTTCAACTGGTTTTTCGACTCCTTGCTTCTCCATCGTGGTGTTTAAACAACTTGGACAAATGCCGATTTGTAGACACGCAATCAACACGATAACTGACCAAAAGTGACTGAGAACAGACGTGCCGCAAAGTCTGGGGCATCGAACTTTGTAGCAAAATTAATAGAAAACATAGTGGGCAATATCTGTCAATCATTTCTCTGATTTGCAGCCGATGTTTATATTTCTAGTTACAACTTATGTAAATGTGAAAACAAAGTGTGTAACTTATTGTAGAATGTTATCTATATCTAGCGCTATTTCAGCGTCAAATCAGTGCCTGGAATTGCTGTAAAACTACCTATTTAAAGCCTGTAGGTTTTAATACAATGTTTAACCATTATTTGTAAATAATGAAAATGAAACAGCAATATCATATGACTATTAAGAACCAGATTTAACCACTTGTAAAGTGATTATCTTGCATTGGGTACTGTTGAAATCAAACACTTTCTACATGACTGTGAATTTAAAAACATATCCGGAACCCATTAGTGTTTGCCTAGTGTGTCCTCTATTATGAGCAAGTAGCATAAAGTTGGTGCATTTACAAAATGATAGAAGACAAATGAATACTGAAGTCAAAATAAAAAATCACTTGTATAACTATTTCTAAACCATGTAATGATTAGACTGATGAAAATATTTGTCAAAATATATCAGAGTTCATAGCACCAAGAGCCAAATGATTTCCAAGACTTTTTCAGACCTTTTTCCAAACTTTCTTGCATTTTTTCCAAAACATTTTGACCCTTAATTCAGGCCAACATGGTAGAAGGGCGGGTGCGGGGTTGGCAATCACTGCCGACACTTGTCAGAACTGGGGTAAGAATCACTTTATAAATCAAAGAAAGCTTAGAAAGAACTCCTGTGTGCTGAGAGTATTCAAAATTAATTAAAAATTACTTGAACTTGAGATATTGATGGAAAAGCTTTTGCAAATAAGGTAACTAGTATGAACAAATTTAAGTGTAAAACTAATAAAGTCTGCACAATGTAAAAGTAATAAGATCTGCGTAATGTAATATCTATGTACCAAGTTTCATTGAAATGTGATTAGAACCAAAAAATTATTAATTATTATGCTAATTAGAGAATTAATATAAACAGATTTTAATTCAAAATTAATCAAGCTATCTGTTGTCCTACAGCATTTATGTACCAAATTTTATTCAAATGTTATGATCAGTACTTGAGATACCAGTATTAATTAATTAGGTTAATTAGGTGATTAAGAAGCATAAATATTTACCAAAAACTAATATGGTGTATAGTCCTAGGTTCATTGAAATGTGATGATGAGTACTCTTTAAAAGTGTCATTAAAATCCAATGAGTGGTTCTTTAGACATCAGTGTAACAGCCATGGAACAGCAAAAAATTAACTAATTATGCAAATTAGGTATTAATATGCACAATTATTTACCCCAAACTTAATTAGATCTCTGCATAGTCCTAGAAGATCTATGTCGCAAGTCTCATTGAAATGTGATGATTAGTACTTGAGATATCAGGTGAAAAGCTGAAAATTAACTAATTATGCTAATAAGGTGATTAATATGCACAAATATTTCCCCAAAAACTAATTAGGTCTCTGCACAGTCCTCAAATATCTAAGTACCAAGTTTCATTGAAATGTAATGCTCACTACTTATATCAAAAGTTGAAAATTAATTAATTATGCAAATTAGGAAATTAATTATACTGATATTACCC